TTATATGCTAATTCGCCATGCTCGTCGAGATTAACTTGCTGTTCTAGTTAACCATCGCGAATCCGAGAGCTCGGCCAGCCCTTTCCCTCCTACCCCTTTCCTGGCTACCGCGCGACAACAAAGTCGCGCCTCGCAAACGAGTGACGTAAACACGACAGTCGCCGTGGTGCTCGTCCCACGAAATTCCACTCCGTCAATTGGACAAATCCGATCTCCGAATGTCCCTTTTGCTGGCATTCGTCCCTTTCTGTTCAGACTTTCGATCCAAAGCACGGAGATTCACATACCATTCACAATTAGGAAAGCCGACTTGAATGCTGCAGGAATTTTCCCTTTTTTCCCCCTTTTCCAGAGAGAATGTTAAACAAACATTACGCATATTAAAGAGGTCGAAAGTACAGGCGCAACTCACATAAATTTTGATAAAAATATGAGCTAATCAAGTTCGAATAATTCATTCAAAATAGCGCCATATAAATAAGCTCGAAAATAATACCTGGAATGATTTTCACATTCTCGCAGTCAAAATCAAAGTTCAATTGTTTTTTTTGATCGAAAATTAACATCATATATTTTTTTCATTTCTTTCTTTGTTTGAAAAAATATATGGTATACTCTCTAAATTTTTATAGTGACTCTCACTTTGAAGAGAATTTCACTCTTAAAGATTAAAAATTGAGCTTTTCTTTTTCAAAACTGACTTATTTTTTACTCTCCAGAGTTTTAAACATTATATAAATTTTTTCTATATTTTTTTTAACAAGGAAAGAAATGAAAAAATATTTATTTCCATTCCAAAGAATTTATAAGGTACACATAATAATATCAAATACTAATAAGTTCTAAAAACTTCAACAACGTATAATATGTAATTAATAATAGTGACTTTTAATTGAGATGTAAAAAATACCCCAGATGATCGTTTACAAAAGAAAAGCAGATCATTATTCCTAGCTTAAAAGAAGAGCATAAACAACGACTGACTCTCTCACTCGGTAAAGTAATTAATCATAATTCTACGACAATTATCTGAACAATCGACGTTAATCTCTCGTTAATTTTGCAGCGTTAGTAAAAGCATCGCGATCTACGGGGCGCAGCATGAATGATCTATATTACACGATAAAAAAGCGACAGATAGGAAAAGAACTTTATTGCTTCAACGTGTTTCTCGTCAAATGATATTAACGATAAGAAACTTATTTCTGATAAGTTTTTGTAGACACGCTAAACATTTTACCGGAGAAAACGTGTAATTCAAAGTATTACCGTGAAGAATTAAGAAGAGGTGCTCGTCCCGGTTTTCCATTCCATCGCCTTTTTGCAAAAGAAAGATCTTCTCGTCTACATTATCTTCGCGTGTATGTAAACTTTGCAATATAATTCATTTACGCATGAAAAAAATAATTGTTTCCAGAGAAAATAATACAACAAAACGAAAAAACTTCTTAAGTACACACGATTGAGTCATTCGTGTCCTGCGCACCTCTTTTCTTTGAAATACTAAGAACTAAATAGTGTCTTTGTTCTTTCCTTTAATACCCAACTTTACAAACACTTTCTAAACATATTAAAATATAGAATAAGATAGTGAATTTCAAACATGATACAATTCTGGACAAAATAAGATTTGAATCCAATTTCTGAAGTTCAAGTTTAATTTTTTTTTCTGTTATACTCCCACATTAAGAGAATTATCAAACTTAAACCTCGAAAATTGGATTCAAATTTTATTTTTTGTACAAAATTGTACCATGTTCGAAATTGTACTATTTTACCTTATTAAGAATCAATTAATAATTTTTGTGAATTTGTAAAAGTGATTATAAAAATTAATAGAAGTCACGAACGACAATTGTGTATAGTAAAGGACCGGAAAATCATCGTATGTACTATGTGTAAGAGTTCGATGCATCTCGATATAGAATCATCAAAGGCTTCTTTCTTTAACTCTTTGCAAACCTGTATCAGATTAAACTCGTCATAATGCGTTATGGTAACCTGTTGCATAATTCTTTAAGCGTTCGAATCTGTGCAGTCTAGAATCTATATAATCGGTTATATTTTAAAATATTAAAAAATAAATAATGATAAGATACTTATTTCCGATTAGAAAAATAAATAATAAAAATTCATATTAGATCAGCCGATTATAAAGTTGAAAACGAGATTTTTGATGTTCATTTGCGAGAAATAGTTTGGTCAAAGCAAAGAATTAAATGTACAATGAAAAATTGAAAAAACTAACAAAAAACTAATAAGTTTTTTATATACTCCTTTAATTGAAACAATTTAGAAAAATATATAATATGTGACGTGTCAACTTTTTAAGAGAAAAAACGTTGGAGATATTATTTTGCGATGCAATACTTCAAGCATTGCGACAGGAGAAAATATTTAAGACTCGAATCATGAATTGAAACGGTCCAGGTTATATATATTTAATATTAAGATTTGTGCTAATTAATAATCGTTGACTCCTATTGTATTTAATGTTATTAATATATATATTTTTCTAAATTAAATATACGATCGTGAAATTTTGTTCTCCGGTAAATATCGATTTTTGCATTCTCGCTATTCCATCAGATCTCGTGATAGACTTGATACATTTTGCGTTCACAAATACGTTTGTCGCGCAACAAATTATCTGAAAATAAACTCGTGATCGAAGCTCTCGATCAAGTTCGCCGCTGCTATAATACCGCAGTCACCATCTATCGTCTATTTTTGGAGAAGGCTTGGAGATTCCGTAATATCGCATCCGTCGATATCGCAGAGGAAAGTCGAGTGTTCCTGATGATAAAACGTGCGATAAGACATCACGGTAATCTCAATACTCAATCTCAAATCTCAATACTATACAATAATTTTACGCGGCATGACGGCATGTTCAAATTTCAACAGCAATTTAACTTCAAAAACGAACAATACAAAAGTAAGCTCGTAAAAAAAGATTCATGCTTTATCGATTCATTCAAAAACGAATCGATCTTTACATCTTCGATCGAGAAACTCGACGACTTTTATCAGAATCTATGTAATTTTAGAGGAATAAAATACTTTTTAAATATATATTAAAACAAATAAATGTCGCATGAAATAATTTCTCGAGAATCGTTCGACGCAGCGGAGGAATGAAGGGACGGCCGAAGGAGAATGCGAAATACATAAAAACACCTGAACCTCGGTCTCGTGGAGACTTACAGCGTCGATTTTATTAATCTACATCCAATAACAAAAATATATTATGTGACAAACGAAATTGAAGACGGGATCGCTCGTTCCCGCCTCGTTGGGCTCTACGTAATATTCACTTGCGACTAAAGCCTTCTCCCATATCAGTGTTTGAAACACAAGAGAATATCCTCTTGCGTACAGGAATAAAGGGAAAATTCATCAATTACACGATATAACGACGTTACAGACAACAATTTCGTATTAGTTGCGAGTTACATGGACCGATGATTTTCCAACGCAAACGAATAATTTCTAACACGTTATATATATATATA